ACTAAAACGCAAGCTGATGGTAAGTATGCTTTGATTTCTAATTTACTAAAATATTATACTAAAACACAAGCTGATAATAAATATGTTTTTGTTTCAAGATTAGCTAACTATTATACAAAGAATGAAACAAATGGTAAGTATGCTTTAAGTTCTAATTTAAATAAATATTACACAAAGACTGAAACAGATGGTAAGTATGCTTTGACTTCTAATTTAAATAACTATTATACTAAAACACAAGCTGATGGTAAATATTATACAAAGACTGAAACAGATGGTAAGTATGCTTTAAGTTCTAATTTAAATAAATATTACACAAAGACTGAAACAGATGGTAAGTATGCTTTGACTTCTAATTTAAATAACTATTATACTAAAACACAAGCTGATGGTAAATATTATACAAAGACTGAAACAGATGGTAAGTATGCTTTAAGTTCTAATTTAAATAAATATTACACAAAGACTGAAACAGATGGTAAGTATGCTTTGACTTCTAATTTAAATAACTATTATACTAAAACACAAGCTGATGGTAAATATTATACAAAGACTGAAACAGATGGTAAGTATGCTTTAAGTTCTAATTTAAATAAATATTACACAAAGACTGAAACAGATGGTAAGTATGCTTTGACTTCTAATTTAAATAACTATTATACTAAAACACAAGCTGATGGTAAATATTATACAAAGACTGAAACAGATGGTAAGTATGCTTTAAGTTCTAATTTAAATAAATATTACACAAAGACTGAAACAGATGGTAAGTATGCTTTGACTTCTAATTTAAATAACTATTATACTAAAACACAAACTGATGGTAAATTTAATGACTACTATACTAAAACACAAGATGATGGTAAGTATGCTTTAAATTCTAATTTAACTATTATACTAAAACACAAACTGATAATAAGTATGCTTTAAATTTAAGATTAGCCAACTATTACACAAAAAATGAAATAGATGATATAGTAAATAGTAAAGTAGTATATCAAAGTAACCAATTAAATTATACAACAAATTTTGATAGCCAACGAAATATTATCAGAATTGTTTTTAATAATATTACATTTATTGAATTTACACTTTTATTAATAAATACATCTGATAACTCTAAAACAGTTAAATTAGATATTATGGTAGATAAGATTAACAAAAAATTTATCATTAAAATAACAAATGATAACGAAAAAAAGATAGCTAATGCATTACTAGATTTATATTACATATACTGTTCTGATGATAATTTAAACTATATTTATATTATTATTGAACCAAAAAAATCTGCAGCTTCACTAGGTTATAACGAATGGAAAAGAAAATGGCTGACAGCATTTAATGGATTAACCAAAATTCAAGTTTATTCACACCATCAATCTACATTATCTATGAGATATAATGGTTATTCACCAAATTTCGGGGCTACTATAGAAGATAATATTTTATCAACTAAAAAATTTGTAAATGATGAAATCGAAAAATTAAAAAAATTTATTAAAGATAACTATCAAACTAAAAATCAAGATGAATAACTGTTTGTAATAAGTAATTAATACAAAAGCGATATACAAAAAGATTCAAAATCCTGAAACAATTAGTAAAAACACTTTTAACAAAAATTATATAAAACATATAGATTCCATATTTTGTAAAGATCATCTATGACACTGTTTGCTGAAGGTAGTTTATAAAACATTAAATTATTAACACTTGATTATTAAAACGCGCTGATGAAATGTGCTATCTACATTAAACAACCATTGTTAAAAACATGCACTAAGACACGCGCTTGACAGACTCCTGGCAGGGCCTTGTTAACACTTGATTTCTAAAGACGGTTTTTTGAAGAGCATTTTTTAAGCCTCTGTTATTCTCGAATATTCTTCGAATATTCATCAAATCCACGGGGGGGCGACCCCAATTTTTCACTTTGTAAAAAATTTTCCCACCGTCGCCTAGAATTTGATGGGGCTCCATCCCCTGCTCGAGCACTTTGTGCTCTGCGCTGCCGAGCCCCATCAAAACCGATGCTTTATTAACACTTGATTATTAAAACGCGCTGATGAAATGTGCTATCTACATTAAACAACCATTGTTAAAAACATGCACTAAGACACGCGCTTGACAGACTCCTGGCAGGGCCTTGTTAACACTTGATTTCTAAAGACGGTTTTTTGAAGAGCATTTTTTAAGCCTCTGTTATTCTCGAATATTCTTCGAATATTCATCGATCCACAGGGCGCTCCAATTTCACTTCGTGAAATTTTCCCCACCGTCGCTAAGAATTCTCGGGACTCCATTCCCCTGCTCGATCACTACGTGATCTGTGCTGCCGAGTCCCCTCCGAACCGATGCTTGTTAACATTTGTTTGTAAAGACAGTTTTTAAAACATATAGATTCCATATTTTTAAACGACAGATTGTAACCTCGAGATTTTTACCCCCTTTGAAACAATGACTATTTTTACACAGCTTTTTTAAATGACCTTTTGCCAGAGGGACGTCTTTGAACCATGGTCTTATTTTACGCTGTTATAAAGATAGTTTTTACCCAAGGTTAAACTCCGTATAGTACATGGGGCGTATGAGATAAAAAAAAGTTTACTTTTTTTGATCTCCTACCCCCATGTACTATACTACTGTTGTGACACTGTCTGTAATAAAAAGGGTTGTGAAATACGTTTCAGTAAAATATTTTGGAAACAGGATATTCACAATGTGTACGACATTTGGACGCAAAATGTGATAGTGTCATTTTTGGAGTGGGCAATCCCAATTCACAAGGCAGTGAATACACAGGCATAACTCAATATAATGGGGAGAGGGGGGGGGAGTGTATTCATGCAATTGAAAAAAAATTATAATTTTCTTGTTCAAGTATTTGACGTATAGCCATTGAAAACATCATTGCGTGGAAGGGTAGTGCGGATACTAATCCTTATAGAGACTACAATGCACTTATACTGTAATTATTCTTTATATTGTTGATGATATAAATATACAAAAAAAAGAAAGAAAGGCCATCATAACAAAATGTCACATGTTTGTAAATGTAGTATGTTTGTAAATGATGATCGTCCAGGTTAATAAAGTCCTGAGAAGGACTGTTTTTGATGTTGTTGACTGACGTTTCGACAACCTTATTAACCTGGTGTGGGTTTCGACAACCTTATTAACCTGGACGATCATCATTTACAAACATATAACGATACTCCCGGGTTCAAACCATTTACTTTGTAAATGTAGATCGTTCAGGTTGGTATAGTCCTAAGAAGGACTGTTTTTGTTGTTGTTGACTGACGTTTCGACAACCTTAGCGGTAGTTATCTTCAGAGTCAAATGAGGGGTAAACGTCAGGTTGGCCGCATTTGTTATCTGGTTCTTACGTCATTGTATTGTGTGTACAGGAAATGTGTGGGTGTCAATTGTGTATTGTCATTGTGAATTAGTGCGAAGTGTAATGTTTTTAGTTGTGATGTGTGATTTCGTTGTGATGTTTTTAGTTTTAATGTGTGGGTGTCAATTGTGTATTGTCATTGTGAATTAGTGTTAAGTGTAACGTTTTAGTTGATCGTTTGTTTGTATTGTGAATAAGTCGTTTTGTAAGGTGCCGGTAATTACTGTGATCAGTTCAGTAGTTGCTGAAATTGTAATGCATCTATAGAGGAGCGGGCGCTCACGACTTACAAATATGCACTCCGTTTTTGGTTCCGCTACGTAGATGACACGATCACACACTACATGCAGACGAAATTGATGACTTTCACACTCACATCAACAAACAGAACAGCCACATACAATTTACCGAAGATGTCGAAGAAAACGGAACTCTTCCTTTTCTCGACTGTTTGGTAAAACAGGACAATCAAAAACTACGAACAACAGTTTATCGCAAACCAACACACACTGACCGACTATTAGACCAATCATCTTACAACTCTACATCATACAAATATACACAATAATAACATTAACAAGACGTGCACAAATCATATGTGATTCACCGGACGCCCTACACAACGAAAACAACTAGCTCAAACGTGTTTTTGACAAAAAAAACCATAACTCTGACTTCATCATACGCAACACTTACAAACCAACGAACCCAACAAACTGAACAACTCAGTGGTAACAGAAACGATACCTTATATCAAAGGTACGTCTGAGACTATCTCGCGTATCTTACGACCATACAACATACGTGTCGCACATAAACCAATCACAACGTTACGACAAGTACTAACGAATATAAAGGACGAAGAACAATCCAACGAACGACAAGGTGCAGTTTACAAAATAAACTACTCCGACTGCAACGCATCTTATATCGGGGAAACTGGCAGGAACTTAAACATAAGACTTACTGAACCCAAACGAGCTACAGAGAAACAAGACAAAACTAATCACATTGCCGAATATCACCGAATCACAAAGCACAACATTGACTGGGACTCGGCAAAATGCATTATTTACAGTACTGACTATAGACAACGGCTTACATTAGAAAGTTGGTATACCAAGTTGGAACAAACCCCCCTGAACAGATCACAGCAATTACCGGCACCTTACAAAGGACTTATTCAACGAACGATCAACTAAAAACATTACACTTCACACTAATTCACAATGACAATACACAATTGACACCCACGCATTTCCTGTACACACAAGACAATGACGTAAAAGCCAGATAACAAATACGGCTAGCCTGACGTTTACTCCTCATTTAACTCTGACGATGACTACCGCTAAGGTTTTCGAAACACCAGTCAACAACAACAAAAACAGTCCTTCTCTGGACTTATACCAACCTAGACGATCTACATTTACAAACATGCAACGATACTCCCGAGTTCAAACCATTTACTTTATAACAAAATGTCCACATCCCAGCCAGTATTTTTCTATAAACAAACATGGAGCTAGTCTGATTCCGCCATGTATACTTTTATTATTAGTTATATAGCTATCTACGTTAATATATATTCACTCACCCAGCACGTGCAAAGTCACCGCTCTGGATAAAGTGTCCCAACCGCCAGAAGCATCGGTAATTTCACACAGATAACTTCCTTCGTCTCCGAGCGTTACATTACGGATTTGCATAGTGGCATCTCCACGTCCTTGTCCAATGACTTCAACGCGACCTCTGTACCTCGGTGGCATTTCAAGAGACCCTACAACTTCTCCATTTTCCTCGTAATTTCTTGCAGTGAAAAATACTTCGTGGAACGTCGGGACCTTTTCGTTCGGTTTTGAAGTTCCCCACGTTATATGAACATCCATATCTTTGGCTTCGTACAACCAACGGAATTTGACGGTCTCGTTAATCATCACGATCGTGTCATTAGGCCAAGTGACAAAATACAGTGCACGTTCCGTTCTCACTATACATATGTGATCAACACACAAAACGTTTATTTGTGAGTAAGAATACAGTCAATTTTCTACATATCAATTCAAGATCAATGACATGCACAAGCCTTTGCCAATGCAATTTTTGACATGATGCAATTTGAATGTATCTAACTACATAGTTAGTTGGTCCGCAGGTGTTCAGTAGAATCTAATGATCCGAAATTTATTTATGCGATCAAGTAAATATTGAAATTTGACAAAAATTATGTTTTCACGTTCTTTTCAGAGGATTTTTTTTCAGGAAGTCGATCTTGAAGAATGTATTGTCGTTGCGCATTCGTTATCATGACTTTTTGTAATGAGTCGATAGTCAAATCTTAGACATCATGAATAACAAATTTATATGGCAAATCTCATATGCTCTCAAGCAACAACACTTACCCAGCATTGCGCTAATGAAAGCAAATACAAGCACATCAGTGACTTGAAGAACTCTTGGCATCTCTATAAAGGCGAACAATTCTCTGGAGCGTGTTTTGTAGTGCTTGGAACACTTGTCAGATGTTTTGACGTCTGTGCGATACTATACTTTTGCTAAGTAAGGATTAGAGCATAGCGTTATAAGCCGCATTCAATAATCTTCGACACTTCTTTGCAAATATAATTAACGCATCGCAGCACGCGTCCCGATGCAACATTCACTGAAAATAACAAACTAAAATATTCTAAATACTGGCACTCATTGTGTGATTTATTCCTGGGGACGAGGAACGCTATTGCGGCAAATGAATACTTTAGATAATGGTTTAACACAGAAACAGGTGGTTTTACTTTAGCTTGTGAAGCACGCTCAGTTGAAGTACTTTGAGGGGTAAACAATTCACTATTTGAACGTTCTCAAAAGCATATGTAGTGTCGAATAAATAGAAATGCCGAATATTCGCAGCTATTTTAAAGCATGCATTGTATGTTTTGAATTTTCATGACACGACCTTAAAAGCTAAAGGTTATATCTATAGGTATCGTATACCTTGAAAAATTATAAATGGAACTGGGAAATATCGAAAAATTATTCCCATTTTAGAAAATTGCAAAATGTTTTGTTATTAAAAATTTATGATATAATAAGTTATGAGACAATGAAAGATACTTAACTCAAAGTATCGTAATTTGTAAATACAAATTAGCTTTAAGGTTTGAATCGTACAATACAAAAAAGTCAATGGAAATATTTTTACGTTGTAACTCATATGCTCAACGGTCATGAATTAAATATAAAAAATTTTCAGTTTGTAAACATTACTTCTATTAGATTATTAGAATTCGCGTGGTCAGTCTTAGTTTCGTGCGACTTAATTTAGCGGACCTCGTAGTCGTAGAGGACGAATTCGCGCAGACTTAACTTTAAGTATAGATAATTCTCTTGTGTTCAGTTTTTTACTATATTAAATTATGTTGTTTGCCTTATTTATGTCATCCAATAGTTAAAAGTGGTATAGCACAGAATCTTCCTGTCCATCAAACTAGCTTAAACAGCCCATTGCTTACGCATTTCTTTTCATCCGCTTTTCATGTTTGTTTGACACGAAAGAATGTCATCTGATTTGTTCAGTTGTATCAAATCAAAAACAGCGATCAAAGCAAGCTATTTGTTTTTCGTATACAAATAAGGTATTGCATTTGATATCAACTAAAATTATAGTCATGATTTACAATAGCATTTCGTACAACATGCCATTCTAAATGCTAAAGTTGACAAGAAAGTTAATATTCAATTAGTCTAATACCCTTTTGGGCGAAATATATTTTGCGCGCGCAAATTCTAGTACTGCACAAATTCTAATATATCTAAGGTGAATATAAGTTCAATTATTTCTTAAATTTTATTTTTTTACCCGATGCATCCAGCAATACGAATAGCCACACATATAATTATGCCCTTGACGGGACGCAAATTTTGAGAAAATGATGATACATATTCTCAATTGTTAAGGGGCCTGAAAATACATGCACATATTTTTGCCATTTTTGTTTTTTTATATAAGCTAAACAATGATAATGGTTTTTATTTATCCCAAAGCTATATTTTACTAATCCTAAAGCCATATTACTAATCCTGATAAATTTTAATTGTTTATATTGTCTATTTTCCATCCTTCCAAACATTCTTCTTCCTCTTATGACGACATCGTCTGGCAAAAACTTGCATTTTCTTTAGTCTGCAACTTCAACCGGTGCCAACTTTATCACTGGTGTAATAATTGTATCTTGCTCTACCTGAACTTTTACCACAGGGACATGTCCATCTCTTCCAGAAAATACTTTTCTTTCTCGACCCAACAGCCAATATTCACGATTCTTTTCAGGCAGTTGCGGATCTAGGGTTTGTCAAAATACATTACAGCTGCACAGTTTGGAATATTTTTACATTTCTAAACCCCTCAGAGACAAGTGCATTGGTGAAATTATATTCTTTAGAAATTCAAAACCAATAGTAGTCCGTTACCCGTGTAATCAAAATGTCCTTAGAAATAAAGTTTCGTAGCCACCATCGTGGTGCTAAATTTTATGAACGGTATTCTATAGTTTTCGAAATGCTGAATTCGAATTTCTTTGTTTCCAATCACCAAAACCCGTAGTTTTTTTTACTTTTGACGATGAAGATCGTTCCCGTTTTGTTGTTTAGGCAACCTTTTTACTTGAAGTAACGTCAATACCGCTGTTATTTTGAGCCAAGTCGTGGGCTCACAGTTTCTTTAGAGAGGTAAACAAAACAAAATACAATTTTCTTGTATGAAAGATTATACAAGTTGACAGAATATTGAAGCTTGCTACAAGGTGAAATCAATTTACGAATTATTTAATAAAGAGGTGGTATAATACGAAGACAAGATTCAATCGAGAAAGATGTGAAATCGTGATGCTACTTGTTAATTTTCACTGTTCATTTACTTCAGTGACTCATTGTCACTTGACAATTCTTCGTCTGGAATTTTTGCCTTCAAAACCTCTCCATACACATCCTTTTCCAATTCGTCTGTTTTATTAAAGCACGAAAGGCATTCACAGAGTTCAGTGCAATGAATGGATGCTTTCCTACAAGAACATCTATTTTTTGAGCAACCTGTAGTGCATTTACATTGTAAATATTTAGCACATCGATTAGTGCACAACTGCCATCTATGTAATCAATGGAGATAGACTTATTTTGTCAATTTTTCATCCATGGTGGGACGGATTTGGTGGGGCACAGTGACGATTTCCATATTGCTGCTTGTTAATAGGCACGTTTGATGTGTTCCAACAGACAATCTTTATTAGGAGGCAAGTTGTACCTAGCCATGTTAATGCGAATACCAGGCATTGAGTGGTAAACCTTACATTTCACCTTCTCCTGGCTCTTGTGAAGCTCTTTAGTGCTTACAAAATATTCTTCAAATTCCTGAAGAGCTTTGACAGCTTGGGCATCTTCTGACAGAAGCTTACATCTGGACACTACACTATGTCCATAAAACAAACTGGTTGTGCCACAGCGTACCAATAAAAACAAACTAATTATTTTCCAAATTATTTTAAAAAAACCTAGTGATGACACCAGGTCTTCTTAAAGAGTAGTGCTAATTTTTTAAATTACCTGGACTTTATTGGATTCATGTACTTACCCGTAAATGCATGGAATCCAATTATCTGAATCACATAACTGCGACCATCACATCGGAGAACACCACCAACGCCAATTACAGCATTAACTTTAGTAACTTAGTTCCTGCTGAAATCGTTGTCCTTGCTAGAATATCTGCATACTCTTTGTAACTTTTCTGTTGAGCATCTCAAATTAATGAGAGTTGTGAATCTTTGATTTCTTCTGGTTTCAAAGACTCATACACTCGATCGTGGACTATAGTTCTACAATACCAAGCTAGACCATCTTTCTGAGTTTGACCGCCATGCCTTGCAACTTGAAGACTCATCAGTGAGGACACCTTGCGATTCACTCCTTCACAAACTAAGAGTTTCTGCGGCCTCTACTCCGACTTGCTTTTTTGTAACAAACGAGGGCCTTGCCACTAAAATTCGCTTGCAGTCAACTGTGTTACGTTACTCCAACGAGAACAAAGGTTAGTAGGGTTATCTTTCAAACCAATGAACTGCCATTGCTCTGGATTTGTATAATTATGTATGAAACCTACTCGATTGGTGACAAAGGACATGAACTCACGGCAATGACCACGAATCCAAAGAAGGACACTCATATTTCATAGTCTGACACCAAAAACGCACGTCAGAAATTGAGAGGTCCGCCGCTCTTGCTATTGCTATTGTCAACCGCAATCCCAACACTGCTGCTAACAACTCAAATCGTGGAATACTCACTGGTTTAACGGTGCTAATCGTGTTTTCGATGAAAATATATTGGTCTTGAGACTGTCCATTTGATTTCTTAATTTTTAAAAATCACCGCTCCATAAGCAACCTTTGAACCATCCACCAAGGTACGTATTGATGTTGATTTATCATGGTTCAACTCAGTACATCAGGGAATACGTAGACGTGCCAGATTATTTAAATCCTCAGACCGAATCTTCGCTCACCGATACACACTACATTATTTACTACTATAGTTGAAATTAATCAACAACAAATAGCAATATATACAATTGCTGAAGATAAGCTCAGGTGTTCATTACATATACAACTATCACACCAATCTCAGCAGGGGCATCTTTGATCCATATTTCTTGCAAGTGAATTTTTCCTTGCAAAACGAAGGGTGATAAAAACACCCAAGGGATAAAATAACTTTGATACTCGACTTATTAAAATTCTCTTAGTTATTTGTGATTGTAATACTGTTTCAACTTGAAACGAAAACACGTCATCTTCCGCCAACCATTACATACCCAAAGTTTTAATTTTAGCAATATTACCTAAGACTAGATCAGTTTTTTGCTCGATTCTCTCTTGGAATTTTTTTAAAAACTCTGCAGGAATTTGATACCCACTTTCGTGGTTCCATACCAGCTAATCTTCACAACTCGTTCAACTTCCTACACAGTTCTATTACTACGCCATCAGTTCTAGTCAAGTCGAGCGAATCATCCATATACGTGGCTTTGTCAACAGTTTTTGTTGCAAGGGGATATATCACTTTATGTTGTCGAGCATGCTCTTGAATTATGTATTGTGCGCGAAACAGACCAGAAGTCTCTCCAAAAACTACTTTTTGAATTCATGAACTTCTGAAGCGCAATCTCTTCACAAAAACCTGAAGTACGAACGATGTTCTATTGGAATTTGAATTTGCAAATACATTTCACGAATAACACAGACTATGGCTACAGCAAATCGACGAAATCGAAGCAATCAGGGGCGGATCTAGGATTTTTCAAACATCAGTCATAAAACGTCGAAGGCGCTCCGCACCTGGGGGGGTCTGAGGCATTCTCCCCTGAGAAATTTTGAATTTCAGAGCCTTGAAAATGCCATTTTCAGCGTTTTAGAGCAATACAAAATGTATTTGTGGGCATCGTTTTTGCGTAAAAACAACACATTTTGCTTACGTTTTTTTCAAAAAAAAAAAAAATGAAGTGAACAATACTTGAATGTTTTTCCAAATATTTAGGCTCATTATCATGCCAAATATATGGCTCATTAGCATGTCTAGGAACGTAAAATTTATTTTACAATAATGCTATTCAAAAACAGATATAGTCTTTAAAAATTTCTACCAAGTTGTCAGGCATAGACCCCCTAGAGACCCCCATTCAAACCTCTATGTAATGAGTTTAGTTAAGTTAGAAATTTGGTACTACAAATTTGGCATTTCACTAGACTATTATCTCCTGTAAGTATATGCAAGGTGTGCTATATAGCAATCACTAGTAGCATTGTATTTGCAAATACAAACAGAATGTAACCAACATGTCTTTAATTATATAATTACATGAATGTTAAAATTGGTTCATGTGTCATGCTTACTGGTTATGATAAATATCTTTTCATATGATCAAAGCTTGTTTAAATGTAAATCAGAAATAATTTAGTTTAGAAATTATAATGATCATCAGAAAAATTACCTAGTGATCATGAAAAATACTTTGCTGTTTTGCCAAATTTCAAGATTTATCAGCATACATAGAAAGACATTTTTACTTTATAGAAAATGCTTTTCATACATCAATAGCCCTTTGGAATTTATGGCAAACAATCTGGTATGAGCCGTAGATTAACACACCTTTACATCTCTACATGAGGTGTTCAGTTAGAAAAGGGGACAATATGTGACATGGGACAACATTCCATGTATGTGAAATACTCAGGTTTAATACCATTCCAGTCAAATTGTCAAAATAAAAAGCTTCATGGATCAGAAGACTCAAAATCACAGGTTATAGTAAACAGCTTCTCATGTAATCAATGTTAGTTTTCTCAAATCTTAAACAATATGTAGTATAACTGTCCAATGATTGAATGATCAATGATCATAAACTGAAAAGCCCCAAACATTTGTTTATGATAAAGTAAATAATAGTATGGCGCCTTATGGCTACCGATTTTTTGTCCATTGAAATATATTTGCAGGAATGTAGGATTTCGCTGCCGTATAACGGCCACGATTCCCCAAGCACTAAAGAAATCATAGCTAAAAGTCTTCGTCAACAACAATTTTAGAAGCATCGATCTGCTTACCATACGCCATATTGACATAAATCGCATCACACACTCGCATAATTGACTTTGATATATTACATTCATGCATACACTTGACTTGTCCTTTACTTACGATTTTGGATGTAAATTTCTGCTGATAAAACTCAAAACAATGTTGGCTTTCTTTTGAACATCAATGACTGAAATGTCGCTCGCGAGATCGTCTTTGCCAAGCACTTAAAATTTATCCATAAATTTCCACCCTCTTGAAAAAATTCACATTTTGGACAGCAGCATTCATGTCAATATATGAATTTGTAAAAGATTTCCATAAATTCCATCTGATTGTAGTTTAGTTTCTATCATGCTTATAAAAATTACTATAAAGCGATCAAACATTCAATTCAGACAGTGAGCTTGACTATGTTAGTTCAGTTGGCTATCAGTCGAAATCCGTCAAACCAATCACAATAAAGCAAAAATTCAAATGAACCAATTGTAAGATAGCAATTGGACTCCCTTATACGTCCGGCCACCCTTATTATCAGTCGAGACCATTCCAGACTGTCCACTGATCTGGCTATTGACCAATAAAATAAGCGTTTTTGACGTTCATAGACTCCTTTATCCGTCGAACCCATTGAGTTCTATAATAACTGGAGCGGCTATCTCAAGCGCGGCCTTAGATATCTGATGACGCCAAAAAAATGGCGGATTTCGTCCGTTGCCGCTGAGATTTACCGAAATTGACCGCTTTTCCGAAAATTTCACAATTTCCCACTCCCCCCCTGAAGAAAGAGTGAAGAAAATGTATGTGTGTATTTGGGATTCGGCAAGCAATTTTTTGATGAAAATCACGATAAAAACCTACATTTCGTAACAGCGAGTCAACCTAGCTTTCCAGTTATCGGCTCCTACGAGGATGTATTTATAACTATCGACGAAAGAGCTATATGTCGGCTACACATGTATGAATGCAGATATGCGTCGTTTTCTTACCAGCGTCAAACTTGTTTGATCGATTAAACTCTTTAGTCTATACAAAAAAGTATATCATAGCTCATCTCCACAGTGGCTCACGGGAGAGAATTTAGCTTATTTGTTATCATTGCTATTTTGCTTCTTTTCGTGGAATAGGCAATGGCTTTTTTCGCCACAATTGTAGGATTTTTACTTGTTTCTTTAAAAAAGTAAATATTAAATCTCAGGATATTTACGGATTTTCTGTAATTGAGTTTCGTATTAAATTTCAAAAAGACTCAAGTCTGCATAGGTTTGGTAAATGAAAACAAACAATATTGTATAGAAATTACTTGAAGTAACCTTTTTGTGATGTTCTGAAGTGCAACTGCATCAAATACTTGTAAAGTTGTAGCACATTTTGATTTTGTTGTATTGATATATAAATTGGGCAAAATGCAAATAATCATCAAAACACTTATGCTTCCAATGGTGTTTATAATTCATTTTTAGTTTTAATACTTCTACCCTTCTTTTTCACTTTGTTTTGTTTTTCCTATATTTGCAATTAAGTGCACAATTTGAATGATTAACACAGTTTTCACCTCAATAATAAATTTCATAAGCAGTTGGTAGTGCATTTTGTTCTCTGAGTATCCACATTTGGTGTTTTCTTCATACAAGAATGATGAAATGCATATGGATATGTCATAGCAAGGCAATAAAACCAAATGAATTAAATACCTATAGTGTACTTTTATGCTAGAAGCTTAAAAGCTTTTTAGAAATTATAAAGTTATTGGATTATATTACCTCTATATCATCAATCTCATGAAAAGAAATAAAAAGCAAAATATTTGTAGAAAAGTTTTGAAAAGTGAAAAACATTTATTTAAAAAAGCAGTAATGATGCATATGATAAATCTCCATTCTGTACTCTAATAGGTAAATAAGCTCAAACTGTTTCTTAAAGAAATATAAGAAATATATAAGAAATATACAGTACAATAATTTTAAAGGTTTCATCACTGAATCTTTGATGCTTCAGTATAGTGCATTAGATATTAGTAACATTTAAACGACACTCAACTAAAATATTTTGATAAAGATATGACATGATTTAAACATTAAGTTATATAAAACCCAATGGCTTATACAGTTTGATGCTTCACATCTGCATCGAGTCATCAATCTCAGTACAAATGTTTACATAGACACAAACTTTATGGCCTTCCCATTTTATATGTTGTGAATTGACATTTAATTAAGCATCAAAACACACACAACCTTCTTGCCATCTTTTTTTGGTTCATGAACTTTAACTTCAAAGCATTCAAGGCATCATAAGTGAATCCATTGTCTCCATCCATAGAATTTGACCATGATCAAATTAAATAACTCTGGATAAGGCAGACAATAAATCAATTATCTTTACAGCATTATCATTTTTTTAAGACTGCTTGGTCAATACATCTTCCAGTCATTTCTTGCTTTAAGGAAACTATTTTGCAAATAGATGGGTAAATTTACGATTTCATGCATTAACAAATGACAGAAAAGTATGCAGAATTTTATTGACAAAAACAGGAAAACATCAGTATAATTGGCGTTCAAGTCAGTTAAAAAATACGATCTTTAATATGTATTTTATGGCTTTTCAAGAGCATGTATAATTGCTTTTCAATCGTTGACGGACTAACAAAACAAGCAACTATCTCACCTGTGAGAAGCGATATTTTCCTTTTTGTGTAAACTACGACATCCAACAATTGAACGATTGAAGTGTTGGCATTATAAAAGAAATGCTAAAAAAGATATCGTCACAGAATATGGAGCTAACGATATCCGTATTCTGTGATATCGTGCTTGTTTTTGAAAAATTCTTTATAATTTACTATAGACACCAGGGGGAGGTCGAGAATATTATTTTTCTGCAAAGCGATCATTTCAGCGGAAATACGTCCGTTGGCCGCCATTTTTTTGGCGACCTCACCCCAGTAAAGTTAGCCGCTCCAGTTATTTTAGAACTCAATGGTCGAACCAGTCAAGCCACCCCGCTTATCAGTCGGTTATTCCAGGTCAATTAATATTCAACTGATCTGGTTACCAAGGAGATATTCATTAGATTAGTCATTAGTTTTCAATAATAAATAATGCGGGATTTTTATCACGAAGTAAATGCGATAAGAAAATAAGAATAATTAATGAATTTTTAATTAATATGAATAGGTAATTTTTGAATTTCAAACATCAGTCGCGCGACGGATTTGACGTACTCTAGACCGCCCCTGGAAGCAATACATGAAACAAATTGCTTTGCAGCTTCGTCCCAGGTAAGATCATATCATTCAAGGATAGCCGATCATGCTTAGCACTAATGCATCAAATGCTAGGAGTTTTCGTTGTTGTCTTGTCTCACGGCACACTGGAAACTGAAGTAGAAACCATATCCGGCCTTCATGAGCCATTTCTTCTCCTTGATTTAACTTACGGATATATCCCTTCGTTTCATAACTTCGTATGATGTTACCTTAATCTGTTCCAAGAGATTCGTACTTTAATAGACGTTTTTCCGTTTTCTTAAGTCGTCTTAATGAAGTCTCATAATTATTCGGTAGAACAGGAGGTTTTCCCTTCCATGGAACCTCTACTTGGTAATGGTCACCGACATTAATTAACGATTCACTCAACTGAGACAACGCCACTTTTCCTCTTGTGACTTCACACAATGTTCCTTTACGGGGTTTACTCATTCAACTGGCCAAAATCTCTTTAACGTTTCGTTAAGATCTTCAAACAAGGTTATTTACAAACAAGCAATTTCCCTTCTGGATTAACAATTCATGACCATCCTAACGTACCCAATCGTGCTATCGCTTCATCTGCATGGTTTATTTCTCACGTCACATCTAGCATAATGGAAATCAATTTTTTCCTGACCACCGAGAAAATCAACCAGTGGATGTTCTGTTGCCTTCGAGAAGTCGCATATTTCTAAATGGAGCTATCGCTTTTGATAATTTTCCAATCCACTTGTCGCAGAATTCACTGAGTTCGTCCAGAAAATTGATCTGCACTCTGATTCGGTTTGTTTTATGGAGTTTATTAGCAATGAACAATCTACACAATCTCTCCGACTATTACAAATTTGAGTCTATTTATATGTTTACATTTCGTGACTTACGTGCACTACTACAACATGAATTAAGAGAGAAAATACTTAGGAAGTGTTAAGTACATACACCCTAATTTTTAATTATAATTTTGGCACACATAAAACTCTGCATGGGAACTTAAAAAATCTGGCATGCAATAAAAAATATAAATGAAATATCCTAAATTATACAACACTCTCCCCCCCTTGACTCACTCAGGAGTCAAGCATCGCCCTAACCTTCCACCTGGCGTCCAAAGCCGCCTTTCTCTTAGTCTTCTCCTTACATCCGCTAACTATATCCTCCTTAACAACCCCTTCAACCTTACTCTCGTCTTTAACCTCAACTGGATATAAATGCTGAATCGCTCTATTCAACACCTGGCGACGACCGTTTGTCATCACGCAAACCCTTGCACCACGAACGACCTTATCCTTGCCACAAATCAATTCCTGAATCACACCTGTCTTCCACTCCCCCTTACCCTGCTCAAACACAATGACCACATCCCTGGCTTAATTATCGCCGACTGTTTGTCTGCCATCCCAACCTTATGAAATTCCCGAAGATTCGTGAGATACTCCCGTTTCCACCTGCTCCAAAATGCTCCAGTATGGTACTTAAATGTTTGAATCGTGTCCTAGTGTTTGTTCTAGTCGAATCTTGTCCTAAATCATTAATTTTGAGTCCTTGCTATCGGGTAATGTCACGATGCGCCTACCATAGACTAAATGTGCAGGAGTAAGTACTTCACTATTCACTTCCTCGTACTCATACGTTAAGGGTCTAGAATTCAATTTAGCTTCAACTTCAGCTAGAACAGTTGTCAGTTCGTCGAAAGTAAGTTTTGCATTGCCCAAAACTTTCCTTAAACAGACTTTCACTAGCCCTATCATCCTTTCGAAAAACCCTCCCCACCATGGGGCCCTCTCTAGGTTAAATCGCCACTCAATGTTCTTAGCGCTAAGGCAATTATCTACTTCTTCGCATTGAAATAAGTCGCGCAACGTCTTTTTTGCGGCTTTAAATGTTTTGGCGTTGTCAGAAACAATAAGTTTCGGTGTTCCAAACCTTGCAAAAAATCTTCTTAAACAGCGCAGAAATGTCGCTGCACTCAAATCGTGCACTAACTCTAAGTGAACCGCGCGTGTCACACAGCAGGTGAACAGCGCAATGTACACCTTGCTCATACTTGCCTTTGTTTTACGTACAAAGGTCCTGCAAAATCTACGCCTGAATTTTCAAATGGTGCGGCTCTCCTAACCCTAAACTCTGGTAACGCTGCTTGCTTTATTTGTGTACACGGCTTACTGTTCCATCGTTTACAAGCTACACATCCACCGCTCACTCTCTTAACTTCCTGTCTGCCCTTGGGTACCCAATACTTCGACCTCAGTTGCGCCAACGTGCTCCGAACTCCCCCATGCATAACAGATTCATGACACTGCCTAATCACTAGCTCTGTGAAATACTGTCTCCTAGGCAAAACAATCGGCTCTCTAGCTTCTGCCTCCAAATCTGATTCACCCAATCTTCCCGTACAATGCAGTATCCCGTTCATTTCTATCAGTCCGTACTGTCTTTCTAACTGCTTAAACTCGGGTTGCTCTCGTAACTCTAGCTGGGCTGACTTTATCCACTCGCATTCTCCATCATTCATTTCGCTCGCTTTTATTGGTCCGGTAAAAATTTCTAATCCTAGTTTTTTTTGTTTCAAATTATAGACGAATCTCTTCACCCACGCAGTAACTCTTAACAGCCGTGTAAGTGTGCTGTATTTACTTATGCTAATGACATTGCCAATTCCAAACAATGACCTTGCGCTTATGATTAGGTTAACAACAAATGACCTTTTCTCTTCAACCTTGCTGTCTACTGTGGGAACTATCTCCTTCACCATAGGATAATGCCTTGGACTACCCCGCAACCAAGACGGTCCTGACCACCAAACCTCCGCGTTCTTTAACTCAGTCATCAAGACCCCTCGCGACCCTAAATCTGCAGGGTTTTCCTTACCTGGACAATGACTCCACTCTGTTTTTGAACTAAGCCTTAATATTTCGTCAACTCTATGCTGAACAAATTGCTTCCAATTGCCTGAGTTGACTATCCAATACAAAACAGTCATACTATCAGTCCAATACTTAACGCCCTCAAAATTATACTCTGACTCTAACGCTTTCCTGACTGCAGACATTAAATGAGCCAATATTCTAGCTGCCATTAATTCTAACCGCGGAATACTAAGTTCTTTCATCGGGGCTACTCTTGTTTTGCTGGCAATCAACTTAACACGAACATCGTTACCGTTCAAAACTACTAGATACACAACCGCACAATAAGCTCGCTTTGACGCATCCCCAAATCCATGCAAAAAATATCTCTGCTTTGATTCTGAGCCAGATGTGTCAGTCACGCCGCTCGAGTACCTGCCTATTGAAACACTCTTTACCTCCTTTAGATCTCTCAACCACTTCTCCCACTTCTCTTTCACACTTTTAGGCAATGTATCGTCCCAATCCACGCCACTGTAACAAATATCTTGAAAGAGAATTTTAGCTTTAACAATCGTAGGACTCAAGAGCCCTAATGGATCGAAGATACAAGCTAACAGACTCAACACATTTCTCTTCGTCGGTTCCGTGTTTTCCGCTTTCGCACTCAAATTTTCGAAATCGAATATTATTACGTCCCCGACGCTATCCCATTCCAACCCTAATACTTTACCAAATTGACCCTGTACTTGAGCAAGCGTGGTTTTCGCATACGTTTGCTCATCAACGCAACTACTTTCCACGTCACGCACATCTTCTTCAATTTGCGATCTTAACGCACTATCATTAGTCCGCCATTTGCGTAACTTAAATCCGCCTTCATTCATGCGTTCGTTGGCCTTACGATATAGCTGATACGCTCGCTCTGTACTAGATTCACCGCTGGCAAGATCGTCCACGTAAAAGCTTTTTTTTTCTGAAAATTCCCTATCGCACTGTAAATATTTGCTAATATGATGCCTTAACGTCGAATTAAGCAAAATGGTGACGAATTCACCCCAAATACGACTCTACAAAACGGTAAACTACAAGATTCAAATTGTTGCGCAGTACATCATCTACCCACAAAAACCTTAGGCTATCTCGATCCCTTTCGTGCACTTCAATGTTTAGGAAGGCCTTCTCTATGTCCGCTATTAGCGCTATTCTTTGCTCACGGAACCTAAGCAGAATATCAAACAAAAGTGGATTAAGTGAAGGTCCGATATGCAAACAATCATTCAAAGAGACACTTGACTTGAGTACTTTAGCGCTTGCGTCATAAACCACTCTAACCTTTGTTGTCTTGGCATCCTTTCGCACGACAGCTTGATGAGGCATGTAATGTATTTTGGCATGAGAATTAATCACACTATCTTTTCCTACCCTCTCTATGATGCCTAACTCTTCTTGGGCCTTAATGATAGTGTCATATTCCTTCAGTAATTCTGGGTTCTTACCTAGTCGTCTGATTTGTCCCTTCATTCTCTTAAGACTTAAGTCATAGTTAGTAGGTAAAGGATCGTGACCCTCCTCCAGGGCAACCCCACTGAATAACGCGTACCGTCAAAACTAAGATCGTTTATGACCGATTCATGCACATCACTTACTTTGTCCTTAATTCCTAGGCTTTCTAAATCCCAAAAGTTTTCTACGTTGATACAAGTTTTATTAGCGGAGCAAAAATTTACCTGAGCAGTGGCGGGTTGATTCTTATCCGTGCTTCCAACCGGCCCTGAAACTACCCATCCAAGCACCGTCTCGATAGCCACAGGCTCCCCCTGCTTCCCTCGCATAATACGACCTTTCTGCAACGACCACAAGTAATCCGCACCCACGAGTACGTTTACCTCCAATTCCTCATTTACCTTACAAACATCAGACAACCACAACCCCTTCAAATGTTCAAAGTTATTTCGAACCACCTCCAAATGTTGATTACTAATTACTGATATTTCTGGTACAACATATGCCTCGATAGATACGACTTCACCACCCGACAACGAACTCAAATCCAATCGCACAACCCTTCTCAACTCGTTCTCTAAAGCCCTTTTCCCAAACGTTCCTATTCTCAGATTTTCTTCACGAACGACTTTACATCCCAACGCTTTAGCCGTCCTTTCAGTAACAAATGATCTCTGACTCCCAGAATCCAACAAAACCCTTACTCGTCCCGACTTACTACCAACCAGTTTTGCTTGTGCAGTTTGCAAAGCAACATTGCATCCTGCTTTTTCACAACTATTCTTAGGACTTACAAATAGAGTATTACTACTATTGGCATCTACATTCCCAACCTCCCTTGTCCAACAGTTCCCTGGGGCTTACTTTCCTTTCCCGAATCACACAGAGCCTTGTGGTGATTCTTCTTACATATACTACATTTAATATTGTTGTCACAGTCACGAGCCATGTGGCCCTTTTCCAAACAAATATAACAACGACCGTATTTCTTAATAATATTCTTACGTTCCTCAATTGACTTGATCTTCTCACATTCTTCATGCCGATGACATCCCAGGCAGAATGCGCAACGAACCGGTCCCGATTTTGTCAGGAGGGCGCTTGCTGTTTTCGTATCGTTCCGCCTGGCTCCATTTGACGACTTCTCAGGATCACCATGCCGTTCTCGTTGCTCTCTCTGAACTCGATGCTCTTCTCGCAGCTCAACTTCGCACTTTAACGCTCTTAACATATCGTCCATATCCCACTGATGGAAGTTTTCGCCTCTCGTGATCAACAATCGAATCGATTCCGGTATCAAGTTCAAAACGTAAGGTACCACGATTGATGAATACGTAGCGCTGTCCACTCCCAATGCATCCAAACCTCGATGATGTGCTTCGACACTATCACACAAGTGACGAAGAGACGTAATATCTCTCGGATCTTTCACTCTATCTAAGTTCAAAAGTTTTTGCATGTGCGCTCGTTGGACCGATTCTGGCTTCCCATAGCGTTCCTTCAACGCGTCTATTGCAGCGTTGTAGTTCGCCGAAGTCAAAGAATATCCCGCGATACATGACTTCGCTGGTTCGCCTAAGAGTCCCCGAAGATAATTGAATTTGTCAACGTCGGACAAACTTCCATTTCCGTGAATGGCGCTTTCGAAGGAATCCCAAAACTCCTGCCATTCGCAAACATTTCCATTGAACCGCTTAACGTGCAGCTTTGGCAATTTTGCGCAAACTGTTCTATTGGTCACCGACGCTCCTCCGTCAGACCTTAACGAACTGTTCATTCTATTTTCCGAAGCGCAATTGCCGTCAATCTTTTGGCGAAGCTTCCTCGCCATCGACTTTGCTTCAGAACTTATTCTTCCAGCTTCCTCGACTTCGCTGACAATGTCAAGTTCTGACGCTTCTTCGTCCCCAGCAATCAAGTTAAGGATGTCTTCATCCATTTTTGGAGCATAGCGACTGTCTCCAAGATTTTGTCGCGTTGCTGTTCCGCGTCATTTCTTCGTTCATCGAATGCGTCGACTAAGCCTGCTGCCGACGCCACAACTTTCGTCAGGTAACCGCAATGACCTGCTCGTACTCTTTTCTTTCTTGCTAACTCCTCCATACTATCCGGCTCGAAGGACCACTTGTCGCAGAATTCACTGAGTTCGTCCAGAAAATTGATCTGCACTCTGATTCGGTTTGTTTTATGGAGTTTATTAGCAATGAGCAATCTACACAATCTCTCCGACTATTACAAATTTGAGTCTATTTATATGTTTACATTTCGTGACTTACGTGCACTACTACAACATGAATTAATTAAGAGAGAAAATACTTAGGAAGTGTTAAGTACATACACCCTAATTTTTAATTATAATTTTGGCACACATAAAACTCTGCATGGGAACTTAAAAAATCTGGCATGCAATAAAAAATATAAATGAAATATCCTAAATTATACAACACCACTACTTTATAAATTATCGCCCAGTTATCTTAGGTTGACATGCATGCAACAGGGGCGAATCCAGCTTCTGGGCTGACCGTGGCCCTGTGACGTAGCGAGCGACTTCAGCGCGAGCCAACGCTAAGGGGGTCTGGGGGCATGCTCTCCCAGAAAATTTTGAAATCTAGACTCTCGGAAAAGCAAATTCCTGCATTTTTAATGTAGAATATAACAATATTTTAGTTTCGATAATTTCGTAAAAGCACTATTGCCAATACACATTTAATATACACGACAACTTTTTTGATGTCTATTTGATGTCCATTTTAGTTATAATCTCATCTAAAAAAAATTCTAATATCGCCAATTTTTTAATTCTGTTCGGATAAAAATTTTACTTATCTTGTGGTGTCTGATGTAAAATCAACGCAGTTTCCGTACCTTTCTGTAATCACAGGATTGTTGCCACAGGAGTGAGAGAAAGATGAAGCATGTTATTTTTGCAGTGAATAACCAAAAGACAGTTCACTACAGAAAAATAATTCCCCATCTTTGTTGCCCCATAAAATGGTCTTTTTCGAAAAGCAGCGAGGATGCCTTTTGTAACAGCCATAAAGATGGCAAGACCAATAAAAGCAATGTTCAAAGGTGGTTTTCTTCCAACAACAGCAAAGATATTTATCCAACAATCGTAAAGATTGCAAGATTAATAAAAGCAATGTTCAAAGGTGATCTTCTTCCAACAACAGCAAAGATGTTTATCCAATAATCGTAAAGTTGGCAAGATTAATAAAAACAATGTTCAAAGGTGATCTTCTTCCAACAGCGACAAAGATGTTTATCCAACAATGGTAAAGATAGCAAGATTAATAAAAGCAATGTTCAAAGGTGGTCCTCTAAAAACAAAGTAACAGAATGATTTTTGGTGGATGGGATTTTTTGATCTACCAAATAAGAAGGTGGCATCGCAGCACAACGAAAGATATGGACATAGTCAATTGCACTCCCATCAACAAAATCTCTTGGATATATTGTACAATTGAACATTTTAGCCAACGAATCCCAATTTCCTTTCACTTCAGCATCATTAGTAATTGGGTAGTATGACTGAATAGCACACTGGATTACTGTGGACAAAGCAAACATACACATTAAGGGTGAAAAGGTGTAATTATTCGCTCTTTCCACCGCTTCTTGTAAAACAGCTGCAATTTCATTCGCATTTTCTAAAGAGGTTAGAGCTGCATCGCATATACACATGGCAAAGGCATTTTTAAGTGAAGTGAACGCACCATTTTATGCTGGGACTCGATGAGAGGATGGGTAGAATAGTATTTTGCATTCTCAAACATTTCAACACTAGTTAGGAATCTCAAGTAAATAGAGAGAGTCTCATTCCCAACTAATGCAATAAAACATGCATTGAACAGAAAATTCCCATTGGCTAAAGTACTAAAAGAAAAATTAGTATTTAAGTATCAATGGCTGCTTTGTTATACCAAGCTATACCTGGAAACAAATCTGCTAGACTGACTCTGACATTAGAATAAATAAGGGTAACCAATACTGTTAAAGATAGACTAATAATATTGAAATTTAGAAAGTTATTTTGTCTTTGTGTTAATTTGGTAACATCATGATAAAGTCAAAGTCACAGGCAGGTAGTCTAAGATTTGGAACTAGTCTAGGCATGTCGAACAGGATTCAGACGACTTATTGATTCCATCTACTATAGCATCAATATTCTATATAAATCGCGAAAGAAAGTAACAGTTATTCAAAATTATATGTTAGTTTCTTTAACCAGGGGATAACATAAAATGCCAGGAATACAAGGATAATACATTATTGATTGGGTTAAATTTTAAAAAGACTAGCTTTGACTAATATTGAAGTAAAACGTTTTATTTAACAGACAGTAACAATTAAATTATGTAGGCAGTACATTAGACAGACTGAGTATGCAAAATAATGACAGCTTTAGACATATATTTTACATGATACACTAAATATGAATAGCTGAAAATTAACGGATTGATCATATATTTCAGGCCAAGATGTCAAACGTAAATAAAAATATAAATTAATACCCCAATACATGTAAATTCTTACCTAACAGGGACATTGGGTCCTGATCTTTCAATTTGGCTTTCAGGGAACTGCAGTTTTGAAAATGAACAAGTTCGTAGCATAATATCGCCAGTAGAATTTATACGACGAAGCCTTTCCTCGTTGATTATTTTAACACAGTGTTGTCTCAAGTTAGACAATTCACCAGAAATAATTTCGCAAGCGTTCTCTTGCTGAAAGGTTTGGACGAGCCTTTCAAGAACATCGATCTTTTTAGAAGTTTCCGTTGATCCTAATCGCTGAGAAGAACTAGAAGTAGCGTTTTTCAAGTCGACAAGAATCGAGCAATTTCATATGACTTGTATTTATTGCGCAATCAAAATACATTCACCGTGGCTCACCGTGGCGCACATGACCAAAACGTTCCCTGTGATTGGCTTGCAACGCTGCACCGTGGCTAAAGGTTACTATATTTAGCAACTATTGCGAAATTTTTTGAACGCTGACCGTGGCTCTTCATTCTGAGATTGCAGGCTCGAATTTACGAACATATTCCGAGCATATTCATGGCGTATTCGGCAAGATTCGAGACGCTTTCGGTGATTTTACAGTTCAGAGTTTAACTGGATGATAATACTATTTTAACAAGACGTTTAATTTGAAGTTTTTGTTCTGTTAACACAAATTTTTGACAAAAAATTACAAAATTCATTCAATTTTTGCTTTTGATCGAATTTTGCTGTATTTGAGCAAAATTTTTAATCATGAAAAAGTCAACCCTGGAAAAACTTAAGTGGCAGAATTCTGACCGTGGCTCAAGCCACTTTCGCCATGGCCTAGATCCGCCCCTGTTCAAATAGTCGAAACGAGACTTCAACATAACCATCACTGCTCTCCAAAATCAAATCCACAGGCATTGTATCAAAGTTCTCGACATTTTCATCTAAAACCTGAACAATAACTCGTTCATGTGGAGCTGAAATACCAAGAACCTCAGCTACTTCTTCCCTGATGTACGATGCACTACTTTCATCATAAAACTTTCGAATTAATGTCCTTCTCGCATCTTCATAAGCTTCGTCCGAATATCCCAATTTGGCGATAGCTTCCGCTGCACTATCCTCAGGATAAGCTTTCAGTTATAACATCTTGTGTTTTGATAGGGTTCTTGTTTCGTCCACATTCGCTGAAACGGCCCCCCAAAAACCTGCAAACTTTGATTTATCGCCATCAAACTTGGGCACTTGCAAACTCTCTAAATTTTAATATTGTGACAACGAATGTGCCAGGCGGAAAGTGAATTCTAAGTAATCATGTCCATGGCCATATTAAAATTTTTATGTTGGGCGATTATATATTTATACTTAGAGCACTAAATTTTGTTTGGCACTGCTAATTGGAACAGGACTGTCTTCCCACGCCCGTCTTTCACTATCACCTATCGAGCGCTTGAATAGTCCCCGATCGGACTCATCAATTTCCACGTTTGATGCCGGCAGCTCATACATTACAACTGCACTTGGGCTCTGCGGTTTACCAATTAGTACATACGACTTTTCTGTAACGGCGTCGTGATTTTTTTCTTTTGTTACAATCTTAAGTTCTTGCTAGTTTTTCGCGACATTTTTTCGTCACCGACTTTCTTATAAGCTTCAATTAACTCTTCGACAAGATCGAACACGTCTTGCTGTTTTACTTTATATAGGCATGAAGTTCATGAAGCAAATCTTCTGCCACACTTTTCTCCTTCGCCAACAATCGCAAAAATTGTTTGATCTTGTAAAAGCCTAGTCTTAAAGCTATATATTACTAATCCTAATAAATTTTAATTGTTTATACTTAAATAATGACTATAGTAAGAACAAAATTAATTGTGATTACATGCCTGCAAAAAGAGTCGATTAACTTGATCATTGCAAGAATGAAAGATGCAAGGTATGGTACTTTGTTGTGTATAAAGTATACACAACAAAGTCTTTAAACTTATAAAGTATACAGTGTACTTTCACAAATTTGCATGAATCTTGAAAGAGTGTTGTTTTAGTTTGTTTTTAAATCTTTACACTTCCTCAGAGGGCTGCTCTACTCGATACATCATAATAAGCTGTTTATAGTGAATAGATTACTGCTTTAATATACGTTCTTCCATTTGTAATTTTTAACTTTTCGACTTTCTCTTTGGCCGCTTGCGAGTGTCTACGAGTGCCATGGGAACATCAAAACAACCAAACGTGTGAGAAGGCTCTCTATAGACGAATTCTTTCCATCATGAATATTTATTTCATATCATATATAAGGGGCATGTGGCATATAATTTCATATCAATTATAAGGGGCATGTGGCGTTTTGACATAAGTTGTATTTGCCCTGGACAGTTAATGAAACTAAATCGCCATAATTTCACATGAAATCAACCTTTGCTTGTTTCATTTATGTGTTCTGTTCATTGCCAGCTGTTAACTGGATAGGGTGTTCTGAAAATGTCCCATAAATTGTGCATGCATTTTTCAAAATTTCACTTATGGTTTTTGAAACAACTTACAAGCTCCTTCTTTACATATTACATCTGACTAACGTTATCCTTTTGCAGCAGTTGCCCTACAATAATTAAAAACAAAAATTTAATATTTTTCTTCAGACGAATGTTTCATTATCGCTGGGTGAAATAGGCATATAGTACATTGTTAATTGCACGCAAGCCTGTCACCTTCTGCACATCTTAATGCTCCCTTTTTTTGATTTCATGCAAATGTGGTGGTGTTTCCCAGCGTTATATGTTTGTGAAATGCAACGACTTCAAAGGTTTAAAGTTACCTGGCTTAGAGTAATGAAACTTTGGACATTTTAAAAATATGAAAACAGTAAAAATATTACGGTTTCTAATTCGTTTTGTCGTCAAACCATTGACAAAGAATGATATAAAACGTTTCAAAAGAATCAGAATTTAAAGCAAATGAATATTTCGTCAATGTAACACAATAATCATCGTACAAAATGAACGAAGGAAGGGCCTCTTCATTGAAAATTACTGATTTGTATGCAATAAAACAAACATTAAACACTGAATGACAATGAAAAAGCCAACATCGTAGTTCTACAAGTAACTAGTTATCGCTTGTCGGCAAAACTTAAACAAATAAGCACACCCTTTTATTCCGAACATCAAAAAAACATCGTATGATATCAAAAAGTTACAAGTTAGATTTATACCTGTCAAGTTTGTGGGCATGAATCTGCTTTTCCTTAGACAAACATCGAACGCGTCTTCAAGAATAATAGTTGTATATGTAATGAACACCTGAGCTTATCTTCAGCAATTGCAATTATTGCTATTTGTTGTTGATTAATTTCAACTATAGTAGTGAAAAATTTAGTACCTGTTAATTAAACACTCTGGGTGGTCAATATATAAATCACACTTACTTATTAAAGCTTTCGTTTGAAAAAGTTGCACAAATTTGCATTTATATTATCTTTGAAGGACAACTGTATGACAGTTTTGCTATCAACTCAATTTTACTTTCATGCATGTTTGTTTTGAACTATCCAAAATTACCGACTGATATTGAAATTATAGTCATATATTTTCTGCAAATTTTTGCATGTTTAGACCATGCAGTATGAACAGTAAAACATCGTCCATAAAGATACTTAGCATGCATCCTATGCATAAGTACGATTAACAAAAACTTTTAGTAAGACCATAAATTATGTAGAGTTGAATTTCAGTAATAACATTTCATAACGGCATCATAGCGTTTTAAAATTTTCTAGTTACAGATAAAATTAAATCAATTGTATGCATTATGTATATCTGAAATTAGTCTTTTCGCGTGGCAAATCTTTATAGTACTAAAAGTAGGCAACAATATCTAACATTGCTTGCAAATCAATATGATATATTTCAATGCGCAACAAACCAGTATGGGAGCTAAAGCTGACAAAATCTGTTTATTTTAGTGAACGAACGACTCGAGACAACCAAACGACAAATTTACACAATATTTCGAAAGTGATATTTTCGCCCGTATTTTAATAGTAACTGTCCAATATGGCTTCAAAACACTTGCATTAATGATTTGTTTCCAATAAAACTTGATCGGAAGAGTTTGAAAACAATGGGAAGAAGTAAATTGCGAAAAACATCAATTGCACTAGAGTAACTCTATGTTTTTGCCCGGTTCCCGCGCCATCTTGGATTTATCATGAATGTCCCACAATATGGCGGCTCGTCAGCGATCTAGACCTACCAGATCTATGTGTTGCTGAATACAAATATACTTAGTCTGCGTGGAGCTCGCGCGAAACTTTGCATTGTGTTTGTTACGTTAAATTATATAAGACCTGCAGGGAACATGTCAACCAAATTGCTATAATAATGTAAATGGTTTGAATCCGGGAGTATCGTTATATGTTTGTAAATGATGATCGTCCATGTTAATAAAGTCCTGAGAAGGACTGTTTTTGTTGTTGTTGACTGACGTTTCGACAACCTTAGGGGTAGTCATGCCAACAGTCCTTGTCAGGACTTTATTAACCTGGACGATCATCATTTACAAACATATAACAAATTGCTATAAATTATTAGCGTGCGGCCCGTGGTCAAAAACATGGCGGAATTTGGTTGTCAAAATCAGCGGAAAGACGCGGGGCTCATAAAATAAATTTATTTTCGCCCAACCGGATTTGACAACCACAGTTGCGATTATAAAAAATATCAATGCCAAGCACAAACACTTTTTAGAAATTTTATCTATAAAACATGCTGCAAACTTGTGTGGTGTACGGATGCTGAAGTAATGCCAGGAAAGGAAACATTTCATGACACCGGTAGCAACGTAAGATTGTTTACCATCTAAAGTGTTCAGTGTTTTGTTTTTAAGTCAATACTTGAAGTGTGATGCTATATATTTTGGGAATGTTTTCACTCCTAATTTATAATTAAGTTATGTTCACCCAGTCTTATTTGTTCTTTACTTAATTGCTTGCTAGACGAGGCTAAGCAACCAATTCTTATCAAGATATGCATATCTTAAAACTCCTTGTTTCAACTGAGTTTACTTCCAAGAAATGGGGGATTTTTTATAATAGTTTTTTGAAAATACGAAGCAAATAATAAGAACAGAGTTGTATTGAAATCAAATGCAGTGCATCATTAGTTAATGAGCTCTTTGGCACATGTCGTACTATAGAAAATACTTGTATTAAACAGGTCGCATGTACAATTTGACAGATTATGGACAATCATGATGATGGTGTGTAAAGGTTTTCTTAATGCTAACAGTTTTATAAATGCCATCTGGTGTTTCTGTAAATGAATTTTTTGTTATAATAAACAGGTTAAAACATCAAAACCAAGATGAAAAACTATTTTGTTCAATAATGTGCCAAATTATGTTCCTACCTTGAAATTTTTACTCAAGAAAAGCTTATGACAACATGCATGAAACATTAAATATAGTAATGCATCATCTGACAAAATCCGTACTTTTTTCAATTCCAGGTGATTCAAAATTCACATAAAATGCATTGGTTGCAATGAAGTTGAATGTAGAAGAAGCAAAAATTGATGGCAAAACTTTTTGTGTCTTTTGAAGAATTACTATAAATTATTTAAAAGACTAAGAATAGCAATCTAGTAAAAGAATCGACATCTGTCTTCAACATGAGACTTTTCCAATTATGTATAGTTTCTTTGTGCAAAATACTATTTTAGATAGACTTGATTTATAAGTCATTCACTGATGTTTTTAGAAAAAGACAAAAAGAAAAATTCAAAGGTATAATGTAAAATTTGAAAGTTTGTCAAGTTGTTTAAACCTAGAAAAAATTAGTATAGGTAACTGTAATTTGTAAACGACACAAGAGAAAATAGTGCAAGAAGGTTAGCATTTTTGAGAATTAATACGTTCTTCATGACATACATTACACAAGGCAATATTATTGTAAATAATAACTGTACAATAACAATTATACAACTTGCTATATATCTTCACCTACATCATAATTCTTTAAACAGTTTGCCTTCATGCAGCAATAAGAAAAGAGTTAAGTCAGAGAAACCAATGCACTTTAATTTAAGAGATCATATATTCAACGAGAAATTATTTTCTCTTCATAAGTTCTCAGTAGATTTATCAGAATATCATAATACCTTCTAAGACACCCAAAATCAATCCTACCAAAACAACTCAAAAAAATTACATACCTACTTATAATATATTTCCAGTCGACTTAAGTCGTAGGGGTAAGCAAACTTTTTCTCAGTCCTATTTAGACATTTTAACTAAGATTTACCCATCTATTCAAGAAAGACAGTTGCACCAGGCGGATCTATGATTTTTCAAACATCAGTCATAAAACGTTGGAGGCGCTCCGCACCTGGGGCGGTCTGAGGCATTCTCCCCTGACAAATTTAGAATTTCAGAGCCTTGAAAATGCCATTTTCAGCGTTTTAGAGCAATACAAACGTATTTTTGGGCATCGTTTTTGCATAAAAACAACACATTTTCCTTACGTTTTTTTTCAAAAAAAAATGAGGTGAACAATACTTGAATGTTTTGCCAATTATTTAGGCTCATTATCATGCCAAATATATGGCTCATTAGCATGTCTAGGAACGTAAAATTTATTTTACAATAATGCTATTCCAAAAAAGATATTGTCTTTAAAAATTTTTACCAAGTTGTCAGGCATAGACCCCCCTAGAGACCCCCATTCAAACCTCTTTGTAATGAGTTAAGTTAGAAATTTGGTACTACAAGTGACAGTTCATAGATATAGAAAAGCTCAGACTTCAAACCATGCAAGTTTATTGTAAGCCTTTACCCATCTCCACATCAGTGCCAGCAAATTCACCTTTTGAGAAAAAACTCAAAATTTTTTCTGCCAAAGATTAAGCAAAAATTATCCGAGTGAAAATTTGCAATTAAGGACAGCTTAATGCCATAAATGTTTATTAGGCATTTCTTTAGATTATTATCTTCTGCAAAGTGTGCTATATAGCAATCACTAATAGCATTGTATTTGCAAATACAAACAGAATGTAACCAACATGTCTTTAATTATATAATTACATGAATGTTAAAATTGGTTCATGTGTCATGCTTACTGGTTATGTTAAATATCTTTTTTATGATCAAAGCTTGTTTAAATGTAAATCTGAAATAATTAAGTTTAGAAATTATAATGATCACCAGAAAAATTACCTAGTAATCATGCAAAATACTTTGCTGTTTTTCCAAATTTCAAGGTTTATCTGCATACATAGGAAGACATTTTTACTTTATAGAAAATGCTTTTCATACATCAATAGCCCTTTGGTATTTATGGCAAACAATCTGGTATGAGCCGTAGATTAACACACCTTTACATCTCTACATGAGGTGTTCAGTTAGAAAGGGGGACAATAGGGAGCTTTAGCAAAGACTACGAGTACGACTACGAGTACGATTTACGTCATTTTGGCGCAAAAACATTGTTGCAACAACAAAAACACGTGACCGTCATCAATCTGAGTACGATGTTTTTTAAAAAATTCATAGTCGCGACTACGATGTCTTTTTAAGCAAAGAAAGTAGGTATATTTCTTCATTCTGTAAGAAATTAGTTTACAATACTATTTTCGAGCCTCCAGGCTTTAATTTAGAACCGTTTTTGAGCGCTTGATGTACATTAAAAAGGAAAATATGACCTGCAAAACTTTCATGTACTTCGTACGCAAAGTGAAAGGTAAACAAACAATAAAATAGTACAAATATATCGTACATAAAACTTAAAATAGTGAAGATTTTTCAGTCTAAAGAGTCCTATATTCTCGCAAAATCAGTATTACCGATTCGTTGATATCATTATTGACAAATAGAGCCTTAGCTTCTTCGCAAACGTCGGTATTCTTCACAATAAAAAGGCTCGTTCTGTTGTTTACAACTAAAACAAAATTTTGACGAAGCGTCAAAGACAACAAACTTCCGTACTCGTCGTAGTCGTATCCTTGCTAAAACTAGAGAGTTTACGAAACTTCACATTTTGACGACGACGCCGGGAGTTAATGCTAGTGCGCATGCTTCTTAATATTTTGGCTGCTTCCTTTGGCGACGACGCCGTGAAATCGTCTTCTTTGGACGCGTCCTGCATGTTCAAGATGGCGGATGAACATCAAAACACAAAAAGGTAGGAATCGAACAGTTTTAAGTGTTTAAAGCCTTTTTTAACAATAAGTTATGGTTATGTTCAGTTTGTACTGAGATAAGGGTAAATTATTTA